CTTTTTTCAAGAAAAGAGTTAGGTCTGAAGTAGATATTTTGAATAATACTCCAAAATAACAAGAATATCCGGGATACCAAAAGTTGTTGAAATTACAATATTTATTTGATTTAAATACCTCACAAGATTTAAAACTGTATTTTTTCTAGAAAACTATATGCTAAGGAAACCGTAACATTTTTCAGTGGATTTCCTTCACCAAAAAATAAATACGGATCTGCTAATTTACATGCGGATGAAAACAATTCGCCTTCATCCGTTTTCTATGCCCTAAGATCTGTGCGTGGAGATTCGTGTGTGTGACCCGTTATTTGTCTCGTTTCTCTTATCGGGTCCGTGTGGTTGACCCGTTATTTTTTCCATCGCAATCCGCGTGTCTGTGTGGTTGACACTGTCGCCCTCCTCCCAGCCGAATACGCAACCCCGAACAGAGTGGAGCGAGAGAGAGATAGCCATGGCGATTTGGAGCTCCGCCTCACCGCTCGATCAAGTGTTTTGGTGGTGACTCGTCCGCGCTCTCCCTCGTGCTGCCCCGCTTCCTCCGCCTCCCTTCTGTTCCTGCCGGCAGGATCTGCGACATCTCTCGGCCCCGTACCGATCCGTCCCCATTTCCGTCGCTGGCGATTTTGTTCGTCGGATTCAGTCCCCCCCCTCCCTTTTTGTTGTTCTTGTGATCTGTTAGGTAGGGAGTTGGTTTTGTCTGTCGGATTTGATGATTGTATCCATCCCCCGCATCTTTTTTCTGTGCAGATTTGTTTAGGTTGCACTGTTTCTGGGATGCGTTTGATTGTTCTGCTAAGCGCGGTAGCTGCCGTAGCTGGGATGTGTGTCAGTTCGATGTGCTGATCTATAATTGATTGGATGTTGGAGTCCGAGTTGTTCATGTGAGGCTGGCTTGCTTAGTTGTAGTACTCTGATGTATTCAGTCAATTCGAACGGATGTATTCTGTTCCCTGGCCTTTAATCCCTAGACCATTTCTCTTCACTGGTATCGTTTAATGGGTATGTGGTTTACTCTGTAATTTCTATTTTGGATTTATAGTGCAATCCCCATTGTTTTTTAGAGTGATTTTCAGTGTAATTCATACTGGATTTTCATTGATTTTCACTGTAATCCGTACTGGATTTCCAGTGTAATTTTCTTGTGGATAGGTAGTATATTTGTAGTGTAAATCCAAAGCAATTTGTAGTGTAATCCCCGGTTATTTTACAGTGTAATTTCAGTGTATTTGCACTATATTTGCTAGTGGAATAATAGTGTATATATCCTAATTGCAGTGTATTTTTGTCAGTGGGGTTGCACTGTATTTGTTAGTGGAATTACAGTGTATTTGTCAGTGATGTACAGTGTAATTTGATAGCTGATTTACAGTGTAATTGTCATGAATTTGCACTGTATTCGTTAGTGGAATTACAGTGTAATTCACTTGAATTTTTATAGTGGAATTGCGTTTTGGATTTACTGTGTATTTGTCAGCAAATTTACAGTGTAATTCATAGCTGGTTTTACTGTGTAAATTCAGTGTAATTTACACTTTAATTGAGTAGCAGAGGAATTGTGACTGTTCTTGTGATGCACCGCTAGTTTGTATGTTCTTGTGATGCATCTGATTCCAGTGTATTTTCTTGAGGATTTAGAGTATAATTATATTCAGATGTACACTGTAATCTTCATCGGAATTCCAGTGTATTTTCTTAGTGGGTGATTACAATGTATTTACAATGTAATTCTCAGTTGGTTTCCACTGTAATTCGCATGGGATTTCTTCACTAGTGGGTTATGTAGTGAAATAAAAGAGATGTAGATTGTAAATGCTATCAATGCATTTCTTCTTTATATTTTTGTTATGTTTTATCCCTTTTGCCATTTCATCTCAGACATTTTGTCCTTTTCTTTGTGTTTGTACATATTTAGGTTATAGATTAAAGTATGGGGAGACTCATGAAGGCTTTTGGTAAGGGCACTTCTGCTGCTTGTGTTCAAGATTGTGATCATTCAGATGGGGATCCTTTTGTCCCCAATGATTTTGCTGAGGATGATCCTTTTCAAGATTCGGAGGTTATATTTCTAATTTGATTTTTTATTTCTTTTATTTCTTGTTTGGTAGCTTATTTGTTCCGGTTTTCTAGTTCATTCATTTGTTTCATCTGTTAACTGCAGGAACGTCAAATGGATGATCATGATTTCGAGAAAGTCTTAGGCTATGCTTTTTAGCTGCTTTTTTCTAGTCTGGCTCTGATAAAGATGGGGTATGTACCCGTTCAGGGCATGTGCTGCTATGATGAAGTGGATTTATTTATGGTCATGTCCTCTTCCAGTTTTTTGACTGTAGTCCCTGATGGGTTGTAGTGTAATTATTTGTTGATTTTGCTCTGTAATGCCCAGTGGAATTACACTGTATGTTAATTGGTCTTACATAGTAATTCTTAGCGGGTTCACACACTAAATTACAAAGTAGTTTACACAGTAATTTTAGCACTTCCTTACTGTTGGTTAGTGTTCATTTTTGTTGGCTTGTTCAAAACTGCAATTCTTATAGTGTAATTCTAGGTAGATTTACAGTGAAATTCTAAGTGAATTTACACTGTAATTCCTACTATATTTACACTATAATTCTAGGTCGATTTTACAGTGTAAATCTAGGTATTTACACTGTAATTCCTACTGGTTTTACACTGTAATTCCTACTATATTTACAATGTAATTCCAGGTCGATTTTACATTGTAAATCTAGGTAGAATTATAGTGTAATTCTAGGTAGATTTATACTGTAATTCCTACTGGATTTACACTGTAATTCCTACCGTATTTTCAGTGTTTTTCTTAGTGTAGTAGATTTTACAGTGGATTCAAACTGGATTTACAGCGGTATTTAAAGTGTAAATCTTAGTGTAATTTTAGTTGATTTTATAGTGTAATTTTAGTGGTTTTTGTCATTTTCATTTTAATTGTGTGTGGTTAGTAGATTAGAGATGGGAAAGTATTGCCTGGGTTCTTTTTCTCCTTTCTCGCTGCTTTGCCTGTGTGGGTTGAAAAGAGTTGGGGTGTGGATCCAATAACATCTTAGTGTGGGTCCGTTTAAAAGCGGTATGAACCACCTGAAGTAGCTCAGTAAAAGAGTATGATCCACTCTGTTATTTGTCAAGACTCTAGTTAAAGAAAGCATGTTTTTGATAACATTTTTTGTTTTCAGGATTGTTTTCTGCTACTAGAAAGCCATATGTTAAGGAAATCAACTTCATCTTCATTGAGGTACATCGCATGTCCTTTGATGCTGGATTTCATTGCATCTGGTTTGATTGTAGGCACCTGCACTCAATATTTTGAGTAAATTATCTATTAATGCAAACAAGTATTCAGTTTTGAACTGTAAATAAGTGCAGAGTAATTTTGCAGAGAAGGTCCCAGTAATTTGATCTAACAGTCACAAATTTCTCCTTTTAGTTCTGAACTGTAAATATGTAATCATTTTTATAGATTCTTTTTGTTTGTTGCTACTTGTGTGAGTGCCTTCTAGTGTGAATGTTTTTAGCCTGATTGTGTTTGTCCTTTTTCCTGTTAATTTCAATTTTTAGTGCTCATGTTAATGCATGTCAATATTCAGTGTAAGCAAGCATCCGATCATAGTAGTTTACACTTCTAAAGTTACTTAAATTCAGTCCTTCAATCACAACTATTTAAGAACAAGTAGAAAGTGTCTAAAACAAGTAGATTAAAGTGTCTTAACAGTGTTTGGTTTTTCAGTTTCCAAAGGGTGTGAAAATAGTCATATTTTCTCTCAACTGGAGCAATCCTCCCCCTTTTATGTTTTTAACTAGTTTTCCCAAAATGGAATTGCTAGCTTCCTGAGCATGTTTTGATCCCTGTAGTGTGTTTATTTCTGCAAATCCAGAAATCTATGATCTGGGCATGTAGTTTTCAGTTTTCCTGTTATCATAGACAACTAGTTCATGCGACCATATCCTAGTTGTTCCTAGGGTTTCTCCTGTTTCATGCTTTTCTGTGATTATGTTCTTATTTTCGATCTGTGTAGATTTTGTGCTTAACTTATCCTATGTAATGATTCACTAGCTAGAGGTATGTTCTTTCTTCTAGATTTGTTCAGGCAGGAGAGAGACGACCGGAGGTGATGAATGCACAGGAGACGCGGGGGGGGGGGGTGTTACCTGTGATTTTTTTTGCTTCTCCAGCCATGTTTGTGTCTAGAACTCTAGATCATGGAGGAATCACCCTCTCTGGTGCCGCTTCTCTGGGGTAAATTTAGCACTTTCTCAGTGGAATTGCAGTGTAATTCTTTTGTGTGTTTTAAGTGGTATATACAGTGTACTTTTAGTGTAATTACTGTGCATTTTCAGTGAAATTTACACTGTAATTGTTAGTGGAATTTACACTGTAAATGTTAGTGGGTTTACAGTGTACTTCTAGTGGATTTTTGCTCTGTATTTGCAAGTGGCATTTTTAGTGGAATTACTGTGTATTTCCATGGTTTTTACACTGTAATTACTAGTGTAATTTTGAGCCTTTGTATAGTTGATTCACAGCAGCAGCAACTGTAATTTTTCTGTAATTCGGCTTGCGGTTAGATGCCATCAGTTTTGGTCCTTTTCATCCTCCTGTAGTTAGCTTAGTCCACCTTTTGTTAGATTTTAACCCTTTTAGCTGCTTTCCGTACGGGTTTGAATTGCTCAGAGCGTGTACCGTTTATAGTTTAGTGTATGGACCTGTTTAGAAGTGATTTGCGGGGCAGAGGCAATTTGCGGGGTAGAAAGAACAAAGGAACAGGGACACAAGACATATGACACTTGTCATCCTTTAGTTGGCTGAAAAATATGGCTGAAAACGAATTAGATTTCATCCGGATGTAGAATAGACAGTCCCAATAAATAAGTAACGGCCGATGGTTTAGCGAAATAGGAAAAAACCTTTCTCTTGGTTTCTGAGAAGTGGGCCGGCCGGCCCACTCGCTCGGTTGTGGCTTCCTTTCCCCTACCCTCCTCCGATGGCGGGCGGCGATTTCCCTCCCGTGGCGGTTGCCCCGGAAAGGGATCGGGAGGCAGACGAGCGGCTGTTGAAGAAGAAGAAGAAGCCGGAGCCGGAGCAGCCGCAGCCGCAGCCGGCGGCGGAGGAGGCGACGGGCGTCAACCCTCTCAGCCCGAGGTACAGCGAGTACGACCCCAAGCAGAGGGAGCACGTGTACACCCGCTTCTGCTTCGATCCCAGGCTCGATCTCTACAAGGAGTGTAAGTCCCCGCTTCCCCAACCGATTCTCCTGCCGGGTCGCTGTGTTGAACTGAATGAGCATCAGTGCTTGCGTTTTCTAATTTTGCACATAACACAGTGAATTCTACTACCCTGCATTGCACTTTGTACTGGTGAGTGGGTCGGTTCAGAATTCAGAAACTCGCTTAAAGGAGTAATTATTCATAGTCGAGTTACCCGGTGTTATTGGGAGTAAAGGTATCCATCATACCCTGGTGTTTTGCACAACCAGGGTCAGGTTTAGTGGTGCAAAATGCAGTTTACTGTAAAAATCTTGCTGGCCTTTTCAACCGTGATAGCTTTACCGGTTCATCCACCATCCAGTTCATTCTTGGATTTTGTAACGCTAGTAAATTTTACTGCAACGTAAAAGGCACCGTTTCCTTCAATTTGCAGTTGAACCATGCACCACACGAATACAATGCATGTTACTCCATTCAACTTTTACGGTTTTACCTATTCTAGACTGACAACTAACTGTCTGATGATTGCATAGGTATTTGAAATGTGTGTTCCTCTCTTTTCGCAGCTCCTTATGGTCCAACGCGCCATACTGACAAAACCTTCGGAGAGGGATTCCCATTGTCTAACTCAGCAAATATTCTCTCTGTCAAGATTGTTTCTTCTGACTATGGCTACCCACTTGATGTCTATGGCACGGTCATAGCCAGGGATGATCTGGATCGCAAATGTGTCTATCTATTCTGGCACGACAAGGACAATCGCCAGTTCATCACCTCATAGGTATTACTTATATTTTGCTTGCATGGTAGCCAATGCACTTCTATACACGTATAATTTCCCAGTGGTGTGTTCCTTGTATTGCTCTTGATATCTGTCATCTGATACAGTTATTTGAAATAGGAATAGTGAATTCGTAATGGAGGGTTTATATGCATATGTTAATCGTCAATGGATTGTTGGCACATGAAACATATTTGCAACTTTGTGTGGTTGAAAACTCCAATAAGATTATCCAACAAAGAATATATTCTATCCGGTACTATATGGGTGCAGATATAGTATAGAGTAGAGTAAAATATCTTTTATACTTGGACCGTCATACAATTCTTGTACTCCCTCTGTTCACTTTTGTAAGTTGTTTAGGACAGCTGAAATTGAACTGTTTTAGGTGTTGTCTTAAATGTCTAAAAAGTCTTACAAAAGTGAACGGAGGGAGTATTTATGTATGGGGAACACTATTCAATGATTTTTTTTAAATGTGTTCCACATGAAAATTCCTTATTTAGGCTCTGTATATTATATACTTAAACGATGGACCTCATAGATGGGCATGTCATGTTTGCTGTGCTGATATTATCAGTTTAATATATGTTGTTTTTAAGGTCCACCAAATACTATAAAGGCTTCCCTTTTAGCGAATAATTTTAGGTGGCCTATGATTTCCCAATACTCCAGCATTTCAGTTTTGCTGTACCACAACCTTTGTGTCATTAAGAAGAGTAGACAAAATGCATGCAAACGTGAAACGTCCTGAAAAGTATATATATATTCTGGTAATATTGTTTCCTCGTTCAAACTCAAGCAAAGAAACTTAAAAGCTTCGATTTCAAACATAGACATTCCAAAAGATACACCAGCAATTTATCTATCTGTATTCTGTACTTGTTTTGAAGGACAATTCATTGATTTTGACTGGTCCAAAGAGAGGACTTGCGCTCTGCGGTTCGCTATTCTTTGAAATCGATCTGAAGGTTAAGGATGTGCATGGGAGGGAGGTCAAGGATGAAAGGCTCAGCAAACGGAAAGTAGTGGCTACTCTCAGGTGTAGTACACCCGTGTTAGCAAAAGATTGAAAAAAATGTGATCAAACATTGTCCAAAAATTTGAACTTTTGGGACATGAAACATTATCAGATGTGTGAGGTTCTTGCAAAATATCATCTAAAAATAACATCTGGCGAGCTCTCACCAAAAACAACAAAATTACTGCTCAAACAGTGCACAAAACTTTCAGAAAAGATTTTGTTTTTTTCGTTGAGAGCTCCTCGGATGTTATTTTTCGATGAAACTTGGCAAGAACCTCAAACATATGATAAAGTTTGATGTAGCAAAATTTCAGATTTTTTGGATTTCGTTTGATAAACTTTTTTCAAAGTTTTTTCTAACTCGGGTGTAGTACACCCGAGAGTAGAAAATCCAGTAGCAAAGGCACGCTGGATGTTAATGGCATCACAAGACAGGCATCAAACTTCGAATATGGGGTTGAAAAAAACACGCTTGTCAGCATGCACAGCACATTGGAGATGAACTTTGCATTCGTTAGGGACGCCGTGGAGGGCACGGTTGAGATCAGGATCCTTGAGGGGCTTGTTGATTTCCATGGTAAGATCATTGCTACCACCACCAGAGTTCCATGTGAAATTGTGCTACATGATAGCAGAGTGAATGGCTTGCTCACTGCCGGCGATGATCAAGTCATGCGAACAGCGCGCCGCGTGGTATGTCTATCTGCAGGTGAGATGCTCTTGGTGACTGTTGCTCCTGAAGGTGGCGATGAGCTCTCTCGCCACACTGTTAGTTTTGCTTCAAGGCTCAACGGTTGTGCCGCCGAGAACATGGTGTGTGGTAACTATAAGATGCAAGTGAAGGTCACTTGGTCGATTGTGATGTAATTCCTGGTTTACTAGTTGTGGTAGGTCAGGTTTTAGAGAGGATCCCTGGATGATTTGCAGCATCATCACTGTCGAAAAAGCACGTCCGGGTAATGAATGTAGTCCTTTCATGGGATCTGGAAAGCTGAAGATCATATATGACCATGGTTTAATTGGGACAACCCATAACTGGTAAGATTGTTGTGTTATACCTTCTGTCCTACTCTACTTCCCATCTATTCATTTCAGATTCGATTGTTTCAGCGCTGACCAGTGACTGTATACTTAAATTCTTAGAATCTTTGATATTCGGGGACACACAAGGTATAATTTTTATAACTATACCGGAGGTTTTAGTTGCAGAAATAGGTCGACAGTTTGGCTAGTCTTGATGAAAACCATACGAGAACCACATTTTGGTGCTTCACAAAGGGGTTTAACTGATGGGTGCAGGATACATTGTATATACAGATACAGTATATAATCGCACAAAGATGAAAACCAGATGCCTGTCTCCACATCGATCGGGTGCTTCTGTCTCGCCCAACAGTTTCCATTCTTGATCCACATTCATGCCAGAGCCTCTTCTTTGAGTAGTACGATAATGCTTGCTGTCTCGGGTTCGTGGTAATCGCGGAAACTTCTGCATTGGTCTGTCTGCGTGCTTCCATACTGGATGTTCTTCCTACTACTGCTACATACAATTGACCATTGCTTGATGCCTTGATTTATTTACTTATATGGTTCTTTGCTATGCTATAGATCCTGAAAGAGCGAGTCATTCTGCTGGTCCAGATGGACCGCATCATGAGGCCTCACGGCACGCCATTATCAGAGACGAAGTTGCTGTCATAGACAACATCAAGAAGCTTATACCGGCGCTGAGATGGGATGACATGATGACTCCGAGGTGAAACCTAAGAAAGGCGCGCTCTTGTCAGGTGATGAAAGAAATAGTCTTGAACTCTTGATCGTGAGGAAAAAAGCTATGGGATGCAAAATGGTTCATGTTCTGATCTTATTCTGCTGCCGATTTAAAAAATCCTACTCCCTCCGTCCCACAATGTTAGACGTTTTTTGACACGTCTTACATTATGGGACGGAGGGAGCAGGTGTTTTTCTTAATTTCCAAAATCCTAGCACCTTGGCTATCCTTTCTCCGCAGCTTTGTGCCTGTGATGGAATATTTTTGTGCCTGTGCTGGAATGTTCACAGAAGAGATGAGATAGGGGGTGTATGACATGCAAAATTGCATACTTTGATGGTGCAGAATTCATAGGACGGTAATAACAGTATGGTTCTCGGAATGCTCATCTGTAGCATTTCACAGGACAGTAACACTACAAGCGAAATCAAAGGATCAACGACGCCAGGCGCCGGGTGTTCTCTCTACAAGCGAAATCCACCGGGCTCTCGCTCAGCATCAGCAGCCCTTGCGCAGCCTCCAGCGTCCTCTCGTCCGGCTCGCTGTCACTGGCAATCGGCAATGGCGGCGGCATCGCCGCCCTGTTCGCGGCGGCGGCAGCCAGGATCTCCGCGATGGCGGCGTCGGCGTGTGGGGCGTCTCCCTGGCGGTAGTGCAGGATGACCAGCCCGAGCGGGCCGCGCGGCTGGCCGGCGACGCCCACCTGCAGCGCCGGCGACCGGAACGCCCACAGCTCCACCATGGCCGGCTCCAGGTCCTCGGCCCTGGCGTCGCCCGCCACGTCCAGGCCGTTCTGGGTCAGGAAGCTGCCCCAGCCGGCGATGAGGCGGTAGGCGTCGTTGCAGCCGAGCTTCTTGAGGCCGAGCACGTAGGGCCTGCCGCGCCGGTCGTAGGCCTGCACCTGCACGCTCGGCTTCTCCTCCGCCGTCAGCGCCTCGTCCAGCGGGAACGGCTCGCCGCGCCGCCAGCTCTTGCGCGACATGAGCAGCCGGTGCTGCTGCAGCAGCCGGTCCGTCTTGCACAGCAGCTTCCCGTAGACGCGCACCGGCCGGGACGCGCCCAGGCCGCGCAGGACGTCCCGCAGCGCGCCGTCCACCACGCCGATCTCGTCCAGCGACGGGTCGTCCGCCGCCGTGGCGGGCGCGGACTCCATGCCGACGCCGGCCCAGAACACGCCGTCGAGCAGCCGACGACGCTTCTTGCGCCTCTTGCTTGGGGAAGATTGGGCACGGCGGCGGAAGGCGACGCGAGGCCGGAGCGCTGCGGCGTCTGCGGCCGCGCAGGGCGGCAGGCTCTGGTCCGCGGCCAAGATCCTCCCCTCGCCCTCGCGCTCCCCTCCTTCTTCCCCGGCTTTCCGTTGCGCCGCCGCAGGGGCAACGGACGCCGCGGGGCAGCCGCAAGATCCGCCGCCGCCCTTGGCGTCCGTCGACGCATGGCGGCCAATGCCCGTGGCGGCGGGAGGAGGCTTAGGCGCCGTCCTCCGCCGGCGAGGCACGCTCCCGACCTCCAGCAGCGTCATGGCGAGAAGGGCGCGGTGCTGGCAGACATTTGTAGGTCGGGGAGGCGGCGGCAGGAGACGAAAATGAATACCTAGCTGCTACAGCTCTGGGTTCTGGAACATAATATACGCGTGGATACCAGTACTAGTACTAGAGTTTGGTACGGGCTCCTCTCCAGACTCCAGTACTACTGCTGCTAGCAGGAAACTTATCAGTGATGAAAGCTTTCTTTTTTAGAAGAATTTTATTTAGGACAGTAAAACTAAACCTAAACCCTAGTCCTCTCACGCGTCCGTGGCCTTTGGCTGTTGGATCCCGCGGCTTGGCCATGCCTGACCGTCCGATGCATCATTTCCTCATTTCCTCCCGTGTGGGCTGCTTTTTGGGCTGAGTGTCCTTGGGCTGCTATTCCAGGGGTCAAATCGGATGCCTCCCGTTCACTGCTACGGGTTAACGTCGGACCCCGAAAGAACGGTGGTGATTATGCTCCATACCCACTCCCCTTCAAGAACCCTGTCCCCGCTCTGCGAACCCCGACCCCTCCTAGTCCCGCCCTAGGTCAAAGAGAAAGGGAGAGGTGATTGATGGCAGCAGCGGCGTCCGCTGCTGAAAGGTGTGCCTGTGTAGAGGATACAGAGATGGCTAAAAAACGAAAACAATCGCCAGTCAATGTGGTCGCAAGGTTGCGGACCAGGCGTGGAGGCGG